TTTAAGGCAAATGCAGTGGCGCACTCATTTTTCTGCAGTTCTGTGAAGGACATTTTATACAGGGTGCATGCACAATTAAATTACATCGATTTTTCGAAACTTCCATAGTGGTTACCACACGGAAACCGCGAACTTGCCCCGCCTAGTGACGATTTTTCGAAAGTCCCCTACTGATTAAAGTTTTTCAACATGCAAGAACATAATATGAATAAATAAAACCTTATTGTCTATTGTTTAAGCATATTAACAAATATACAATATACCAAGTACCTACGTAACTGAAGAACATCCGTATGGTTTACAATGAGCCTTCTGGACAACCAGATACTGATGAAACCCTAATTTGAAACCAAGAAAATTAACGAAATTAAAAATTAAAGCTATATGAAAAGAAAAAGGAAGAAGAAAAAAAAGTGAAATACGAGTGAAAGAATTAGTTTAGTGAAACGTATTTACTGCTTAAGTGATATTTGTCCGGGTTATCGAACTCGCACTGTATCGACACTCAACGAAACCGCACTGTATCCGAATATCGACTAGACGTAGAAAATCGAAACGAGTGTCATCTCTCTTTCCGTTTTACGTGTACTAATTTAAAGATGGCGAATGTGCTCGGTTGTGCACGCCGTGCGTTTTATTTATCGGCGACTCGCTGCCGCGTTTGGCTTCCGATTACGATAACGAACAGGCCGGCGGGAGGGCGGCGATCGGGGGGAACTTTAGGATCGTTTTAAAATAGAATTTAAAGTTTGCGAGGTTTTTTTTGTCTTTTTTTTTATTTGGCGGAAATTTTGTGAGCGCTACACCATGGCGTATGAGATAGATATTTATTTAGTTCAATAACGAACTTGCCCATTTTTTGTATTTTGCTAAAATGCGTGTTTGTATATAAAATCACATTATATCTAACATGAACAATAATAATAATAATAATAATAATAATAATAATAATAATAATAATAATAATAATAATAATAATAATAATAATAATCGTCTTTAACGACCATCGCAACCTGTCAAAGTAACAGCAACATAATTTTTTAAAAGTGGAATGATTAAATTATTGTACTATTACGACACTTGACATCATGATTTTGAGTTCTATTTTCATAATTTTTATATTTATTATTTTTATTTTTATAGTTCAATAGGGAACTTTTTTTATTTTAAAATGCGCCGATTGTATATGAAAATACATTATACCAAATATGAACCCTTAAATCGCAATACTTATTTCGCAAAAAATACAATAGCAAAATGCGTGGCAGCCTGTGTCACGTCACACCGCAGGAAAGTATAACGGCCATTTCAAGCAATCGTCATTGATTTCTTACCAAATTTGCATCGTTAGGCTCAGCTTTTAAGTGTGGAATGGTAAATGTTTGTATTTATTATAGAAACTAATTGCATTAATGAAACATTTTTAATTTTAATTTTAAAAAATGTCTTGTTCTTTAATATTTTTGACCTAATATTTTTGGGACATTTTTATCCATTTGCTTCGTGGGTATTGTAGTAAAGTTATGTGAATTATAAGTAAGTATTAGTCGACTGAGGTACTCAGAGATGTCTTCAGTGTAATAGGCAACCGTCTTTTGGACATTATAAATACTTCACTTTCTACCGGAGTATTTCCGCACGAGTGGAAGACATCAACTGTGATTCCAGTTCCAGAGGTTTAAGGTACAAATCAGCATGGATAATTTAGACCGATAAACACTGTTGAGGTTTATGAAAAAATATTGCATTCTGGGTGAGTCTGTGATAGTTAATATATGTGACAATTTCCTGAAAGCTGGAAAAGCTGGGCATACGAGGCTCAGTTTTAAATTGGTTCAGATCTTATTTATATAACAGAACCCAAAAAGTTAGATTTAAAAATAGTGTCGATACAATGTACGGAGTGCCGCAAGGAACTGTACTGGGGTCTCTATTATTCCTATTGTATATTAATGACATAGTTAAAGTAATTAACGATAGCAAAATCGAATTATTCGCAGGTGATACAATGTTATATATGGTTGGAAGTGGCATAGATGAAACGTAGTATTAACAGTGATTTGAACCGAATACAAATGGTTATATAAACACTTAATACTAACTAACTAACTAAACTTAATATTAACACGTCAAAGTCTAAATTTTGTATTTTTTGAAGAAAAAAAAATTGAAATAAGTAATGAATAAAATAAGTAAGAAAATAAAGTACCTTGGAGTCATGTTAGACTCAGAACTAACGCTACGACCGCATGCCGATTATGTAATGAGAAAATTTTCAAAAAAGTAGGATTTATATGTAGAATAGGCTGTTTCCATGTACACCAAATACCTTTTATATAACAGCATTGCGGCACCTCACCAATCTCAAATTTTGAGGGATAGAGCATTAAGATCGATCTTAAAGTGTAACAGATACACTCCCGTAAACCTAATGTCAAATGTTGTTAATGTCATGACGGTTTAACAAGGAATTATTTATAATGCAAATACTTTTATTAACAGCGTGCATAGGTGCTATACGAGAAACCGCAACGATTTTATTTTAGTAGATAGGTATCGCTCCAACTAAATGACCTCCGAAAGTAACTATCAACTATCAAATACCTTGAAAAATTGTGATAATTTCAGTAACTTTAAAACTATGTTGAGGGAGTATGTGATGTCTAGTATAAATCATTTATAATTTAGCCTGTATGTTGATTTTTGATTATAGTTATGTTGTTTGTTGGTATTGTTTGTTCATGCATTTTGTAAAACTTTGTAAACAATTGTTTTTGTATGTAGCATCCCAAGCCAATAAATAAATATTATTTTTATGATTATTATTTTACCAATATTGTAATTTTCCGGTAATTGTACAAAACCCATCAAATTTAAAAAATATAAATAGCATCGGTAAATATTTTTTTACATGAATCATGTAAAGCTACAAGTGAAATGTAAATTTAGCGTGACTTTTGCTGGCATCACGTAAACAATGATTTTTGTTGGGTATCGTTGGGATTGCCATGAGTGCAACGGCTGTATCATCAAATCCAATATAATGCAAAATTGGCCCTATGCGAATATTGACTGGAAATATGACAAAACGTTATGGAAATTTAATTGTTTTTTGCTTATAGGTCTCAAATTATTGTTGTTGTAGCGTTCTATTGCTAATTGGGAAAGCAAGTAAAATACGAGGTGTGCTCAAAAAGTAAGGTGACTTTTGTAATTGTTTGTTTGTTGTTATGTTGGTCCCTAACGTATGTTTACAGTTTCAGCCAGTTTGTAAGTTTACTTTTTTTTTTCGTGAGCCAGAAGCGTTAGAAGTGTTTTGTGTGCTTGGCGATTTTTTGCTGTTAAAAAAATGGAACAAAGAATTTGCATAAGATTTTTGTGCAAAAAATGGAATGCAGTCTTGCAAAACACTTGAAATCTTGACAAAGGCAATATTTTATTTATTATTTTTATTATATATTTATTTTTTATTATTTTATTTATTATATATTTGTTATATAACCGGTGCCCTTAACCACACTCGCCGAAACAGTATAAAAAAAGACGGTAGAAAAAAATCCATTTTTTCAAAACACCTTACCGACTGGTGCGGCGTTTTACCGCCACCGCCCCGTTAACTCGACGATTACGCGGACAAAAGCCGAAACGATATACTTCGAGACACACCATACGTCACTATACTGCCTCTTCCGTAGCTCTCGGCGTGTGGCTTCGACGCCGATATACGGGGTGATTTAAAAAAACTATGCGATTTTTTTTTTGCTCACTTAAAACGGGGATTTTTTTCTCCCTAGATGGCGTTCGAGTCTGTCCGGTCCTACACGAATATAATTAACAATTGATCGGGCGTCCAAAATACAATGATGGCGGCCGTTCGATACACGTTACGCTCGCGTCCCGCCGGTTGTGTTCTTTGTTTCGGTTCAAACTCCGCGCAGGGACGGGGAGTTGTGGGGGGGGGGAGTTTGGGGGGAAACCTGTCTGGAAAATGTAGAATGCATTTCCCGACCGCTGCCTCGCCGTAGAGAAGCGCTTTCCCTATTTTTGACATCACGTCCATTAAAAGCGTGCCTACGTCCGACGTTGGTTCCGAAAAAAAGAAGAAGAAAAAAAAAAAAAGGGCGACGCGCATTGTTCTCGTAAAAAATTCGTTATTTTAAATTAGGTCCATTAAGATGCTAAGATCTTAATAAGTAAGACACCGAAGGAAAATGGTTAAATACAAATAGTGTTTGACATTAAATATATTTATAATAAATATTTAGAAAAATTCTAATTCTTCCCTCGATTTTGAGATTTTTGTCATTATATGGCATACGAAATTTTAAGTAGTTTTTCAGAAAAATGAACTTTTCCATTTTTTTTGCGGAAAACAGGTCTACTTTCAAAAGCCGCGTCTTAAAGGGTAATTCTCATTTGTTGAACTGAGGTGGCTTTTACTTGATGAAGATCTTTTCTCTGGATGCGAGATGTCAGCATCTCGCATCCAGAATGAGAAAAAACGTTGGCACAACTGTATTATATCTGGGGGATTCGTTTGAAGGGAACAACATCATTTTTAATGAATCAATGATATGATAAAACTTAAAAGTTACCATACTTTTCAAGCAACCCTCATAGATAAAGGTATTCATATAAACCTATATGAATATAGGTTGAAATGTTGCAAAAAAAACGTCCTTTTTTATTTTAACGCCACGAACGCCACTGGTTGAACAACAAGTTTATCCATGTTATAAATTCTTTTTTATTTATAAAATAATTTTTTAAAAATAGGAGAAAACCTTTCAACGTATTTGTCGCTTCTGAATACTTTTGAAATCAGCAAAAATACACCGAGAATCCTATTTAAATAAAATTAAATAGTTTCCAATCACTTGTTGACGCTAACAGCGAAAAGGCGTTGAAAAAAAAACGGGATACGAGGGTGATCTGAAAAGTGGTCGCACCGTACGTAGAAAACACCCCGTATGTTATATAAGACGATGAATAAAGCTTACCTTGAGTTTATCAATAAGAATCTGATTAATAAGTTCGGAATGGGGGCGGTTGTTGGGGCCGGGGGCGGCGCCCGAGCGATGGGGCGGCCGACGGCGGACCGCCGGGGGGCTATCGTCGCCCGGGGGGCCGTCCGTGTCGTGGGACTCGCTGCTGTCGCCGCCCGTGGTCCCTCCGTAACAACCGGGCATCTGGAACGATAACGTCAAAGATCGCCATATGATTATTATTATTATTACCATTATTTTAATAATTCGGCGGCATGGCGAGAATAAACGAAAAAAAACTAAACGGGCTTAAAAGAAAATTAATAAAATAAAAATTAAATACCAATTGAAAATAATGAACGACTAATTAATACTTCGCACCGAAACGAAAAGAAACGTCCGTCGACTGTTTCTTTTCGAAAATGTCGCCGCAAAACTTGCAAATTAAATTTTTAATTTTTAAATTGAAACGATATAATTGAGGATCGGTCGAGTTCGATTTCGTTCGAATTAAAAGAAAAAAAAACGCGCTTTTCGACGATTCGAGCGAAGTGCGGGGGGTGGAGGGGGCAGTCGAGGGGGCATCGAGTGAACAACGAGGCGTGTTTTCTCTTGCGCCCCCCATTAGGTTTTGCGGAACGCCGACGAAAGGTCCTTTTAACTCGAGCAAGCTTAATTGAATTTTAGTTTGGCCGGCGTTTCGTGGCGGTCGTCGCCATTAAACGACTAAAAAAAACTGTAATTATATTGTCGGAAAGATACGATTTTAAAGTACAAGCTACATCGACTGACATCGCATTGAAACGCAGATTGGAAAGGTTAACTTGTGTAGTTTGTACACTCGCAACTAACGTGCCAATGTACAACAATGTACAACAACTGTTTGGTCATATTTACATATTTAACAAACACGCCATTATTAATGATATTGAAATGGCCAAAAAGAAACTAAACGCGTCGATCGCCTTAGCTGTATTTAAGCGGTAAGCGCGACCATCGGTGATACGATACGAGATACGAACGATTAGTTTGTACACTCGCAAAATAGTTTGTATACTCGTAACTAACATGCCAGTGCACAAACCAACAACTGTTGGGTCGTATTTACGTATTTAACAATCGCACATTTACTAACGACACCGAAATGGTGAAAGAGGACCCCCGTAGCTATAACTTAGAGGTTAACGCGACAGTCGGTGCGGGTGTACAGAGTGACCGGATACGAATGCAAAGTCTTTGAGATTGGCGATAAAAAAATATTACCAAGGCGGCCGTATTGGAATCCAGATACGGACGGTTAGTTTGTATACTCGCACGTTAGCTTGTACACTCGCAACTAACGTGGACAAAGTAAGTTAAATAACTCGCAACTAACCTGCCAATGTACAAACTAACAACTTATTTATTTTATTTTTATTTATTTCGTATTTACGTATTTAACAAAGCCCACTTATTAACGACATCGAAATAGTGAAAGAGGACCTCCGTAGCTGTAATTTAGAGGTTAACGCGACAGTCGGTGCGAGTGTACAGAGTGATTGGATAGGAATGCAAAGTCTTAGAGACGGACGATAAAAAACTGAGTTCAATTTTTTTTGGAAAAGAATGTAGTTTATGCGATTTGCATTTTGTATTCTCAATGTACGCTCGGCAGGGTTACAGCATAAAATTACACCAGGCAATTTGCGAGTGGACATATTGCGAGCGAGGTTGCAGTATATATATGACGAGGTGGAAACCAGATAAATCTTATTTCTTATTTTTCCCCCTACCAATAATGTGACAATGTGACTACGACCCCTGGCGGATATTCTAAAAACATAAAAATCATTTAAAACATTTTTTCTTGTCCACTTTAGTTTTTTCATCTCAAGTCTTTAATGGTTACAGTCGGTAAGTTGCGAGTGTACATGCTATGCGCGAGTAAATACTTGCCTTTCTATGAGGAAATATGAGAAAACACAAGGTTACTTACAATTTTTTCTATGGGGAGAAGATTATCCGAATTCTCGTATTTTCCCCCTCCACATATATACACTGTGCAAGTTGCGAGTGTACACTTGTGTACGAACGAGACGTTCCGGTCGGGTTATTCGTCGCCGAACTTCGTCTTTGCGAATATTATACCTTTTCAGCGATTTTCTTTTCTAAAGCACCGCGGGAGATTAAATTCCCGAACTCGCGATCGAACGTAGGTAAAGTACACGTAAACTTGCTTGACACTTTAACGTCCCCAGATGAGCTTTTCGCAAATATCCCGTTCCGGAATAAGATGTTGGGCATCTCCAAAAATAAGCGCGTCTCTCTTAGGTTCGAGTTCCCGATTAGAACGGTGGTAACGAGACCGGATAATTGGGTGGGGGAAATCCGGAGCGAGTTCTTTGAAACTACACGCTTAATTAAGCCGCAGACAAATTTGCAACAGCATAATGCGATAAATCGAATGTTAAGGCAGATCTGAGAGCCTGGTTTCGTTGTCATTTCAGTGCCTCCGCCCCCTCACCCATACATACTATTTGGAATTTTATAAACTTTGTTCCTTTGTATTTGTTTTCACCCTTGGATGGTCAACTCGAGATTTTTATTAGCGAAAAAAAGATCTGAACACTTTGAGGACGTGGTTAATCAACAAAGGGGAGGAGTCACGGGGCGGGACTTCAAAGAAAACTACGCCCATATAAGAAGGCTTGGACAATACGACGCGTTGCGTCGTGTGTTGACCACGCCCAAAACTAACAAAGGGTAATAGATAACAAATAGTAATTTGTTCATTGTTTCAGCTACACTGTGCAGTAGCTAGGTCAGCATTTATAATAAAACTAAGTAACAATTCAATAAAAGAAACACTAATAATTTAAGATGTAGGAAACAAAGATATACAATAGTTTTTTTTTTGCACTTTGTTTTGCATTTGTTTTCACATTCGTGGTCTTAAATTAATAAGTAACTGAAATCAATAATCCACTTTATTTTTCAGTTTTCGAAAAGGTTCGACAATTTATCAACAAGCCACGGTCCAACTAACAGACGTAGTCTGACCAATGACTGGTCTAACTTAACCTGTACAGGGTGAGCAGAAAATTGTAAAGATTGTTCAGATGCACAATTTAAAATTATTTACAACTATACAGGGTGGCTCAAAAAAGCGGGACGAATAACTGAATTATCGAATTGGTTTTGAATTTTGTTTTGGTTTCCTTTTAAATCCTTTAACTTTTTCTATTTCTCCAATATTCTAAAAAAAATACTGGTTTTAATACTTCCAAACAATTAACGATGTGTTATGATTTTCGATGGTAGATCACTGGATTTTTGTAAATTTTTACTTTTTTAAAATAATGTTTTCTTAAATGCCAGTCATGCTGATTGGCAGTAAAAATATCCTTTACTTAAGCTTATTTCATGGCAAAACTACATTTTCAAAAATGTTCTAAATCGGAAGCCTCAGTCAACCGCCAAATAAACTTTAGGAGCGGCTTTCGCCGAGACACGCCCTATTTGGGCGTGGTCTCCTTTATACCACGCCCCCGACGGCAAAGTGGTCGGATCGCGATGAAATTTGGCAGGGGGGCAGGCAAGGACAAGACGATCATCTTTTTTCGTGTTTCGTATGGTTTGACATTGCAGGCTCGACATGTTTTATCCGTAAAATAAATCCATGAAATGAGTGATGTGAAGCGATGCGAACGAAATTAATGTTAATATAAAAAATTTAATAAAAACATCTTACCAAGCAAGCCTGGCGGTGGTCTGGCGAGAAATCGGAAAATACCATTAGTGTGCTTTTGCCGCCCTACCGCGGGAAAATTAAAAAAAAAAGATTTTGAAAAGCGCGCCATCAAACATACGTACTTTTCGGTTCGCAGTGTATACGTCGTCGGTCGGAGCCGCGCGAAACGGACGTATTATTTGTGCGAAGCAAACGGTGTGTAAAATAGAAAATGGAAACGTGAAAAACATTCAAACCGCCTCAGAAGTGTCCTTTAAACGACTTTCGTCGGTTGTCGATTAATCGAATTTGCTGACGTTAAATAAAATTAAATAAATTAACGGTCACTTTCTTAAGAAATGCCTATTCGAATTTTGTACAGTTTAGGCAGAAATTGAGGTTTTGGATTTTTTTTTCATATTTTGAGCGGCCCATATAATACTACTACACACTTTAACAGATTTAATTTAATTTAATTTAATTATCTAGTTTGATTGAAAATACCCAACAACAAAAATAAATAATTAAACTAAACGAGGTAAGAAATTTGAATAAATAAATCCATAAAACAAAATGCGAAATAAAATTGAAATAATTGAATCCATAAATTTTAGTTCAAAATGTTCCTCTTAAAATACTCGTTTCATCTGCCATCAAAACAACAAAGAAATATCAAAATATTTAAAAATATAGTTGGCTATGACATCACAATCTTTTTTTTTTGACGCATTGAGTTATAAACAAACTTTGACATTTCTGTTCGTTTTTGTTGTTTTTCATATTTTTATTTAAAAAGTATGGAGCATTATATCTTGAAAAGAAGTAGTATCGTGTCTTTGCTATTTAAAAAATACAAATGTGGCAGCTTTAAATTCAACAAGAATTTATACGGGTGTTATCTTAAATTTAAAAATATTAAAAATTACAAACTTATCTGGGTGTTTCATTTAAAATAACAAAGTTGATGTCGTGGCGGACACTTTTGGGACACCCTGTATGTGGGCCGTTTCATTTGGCACACGGTGCACATAGAGGGTTGACTGAAACAGGTACTTTGAGGGCAAAGAATAATTTAAAAAGGGTCCCATCGGAGCGTAAGAGCTCTAGAAATTGAAGAAGCAATTCTAGTGATTAATACCCTAGAAGAGTTAAAGGATCGCACATGAGTTTCGTGCTATTTAATAAGCAACACTTGAGGTATACTTCAAAGAGGCAATTTGAGGAAAAGCGCTGAAGCGTGCATCCTTCAAGATGGAGGACACTTTCAACAACTTACCTAGTTTCTATGTTGTACTTTTTTCCAAAAAGGCTTTTATTAATGTATTAACAGAAAATTCTGTTAAAAATCAATAATAGTAGCTAGTTTTTTTTTTAATCTTATTAGTTATGTTGTTTCCTCAAAACTGCAAAACATTTTTTTTAAAGGAATCAATAAATCAAATTTCCTCAGATATGATTGGAGATCGTAAAAATAATTTTTATTTTAAGAGAAATCCGTGGCGTACCATCGATGTCTGCCAAAATTAAAAAAAAATATATATTTTTTATTTTTGAAAAATTTACCATTTTTGACGTTCGGGACATGTGTTCACGTGTAACTTTTTAAACATGGTGCCCTTAATTAATAGAAAACGCAGTGTATAAGAAAAATAAACGAGCACGCGAGGGCGGCGTCCTCTCGATCGTCAAAGGACACTTCTAGCGGACGGAGATAAAAGGCCGTCCCGGGGCAGGGGGTGGGAAAAACAATCGCAACAAAGAAGGCAAACCGGAAAACCGAAACAAGGGGGAAGAAAAAAAGAATATCTTCAAGCACTAACCTCGATCTGGATCCCGCTGTCGCCGCTGTTGCATTTAGCGTTTCTAGCCGCTTTGTTTAGTTTTTTCCGCTCCTTGCTCGAGCGCCAGATGAGAGGTCCGAACCTGCAATAGAAACGTTGATGACAAAAGAAATTCGATTTTTGTTTTTCAAACGTTCAATTAGGCTTGTTCGCTTTGTTCATTAGTCATCTTAAATAAGTAAAAAATAAAATAAATAAATAAAATAAAGAAATAAATAAAATAAAGAAATAAATAAAAAACTCAATAATTTTTCAGTTTCTTAAACGGCCATGGCTTGGCCAAAGTTATGAGAAAATGGTAAATACAAAACACATTTTAAAGTTATTTTAAAGTATACAGTGGCTCTAAAAAGCGTGAAGAACAAAACAATTTTTTTTTTAATGGAACAACTTATTTTTAAATTGTGTTTTGAACTCGTGTTTAAATTATTCAACTTTTTTATTAATAATAATACATTAATAATCATAACAGTTTTTCCAATATTTTTATTTTTCTAAAAAATACTAGTTAAACAATTTTTTTTTCTAAAAGACGAAATTAAAAAAAAAACTGACTACACCACTGAATTCTACCTTAAAAAAGTACCAAAATGGGACACAGTGTATAAGGTTTTATATTACATTTTCTCACCCACCCACAGCGGATGGGCAAAAAGTTTTCATACAGAAGTTGTATGGTTTCTTTTATATATTTTGGAAGTTGTATGGTTTCTTCTCTATTATCTTCTAGAACATACCAATGAAAACAAATGAGCGCTTGGAATGAATGAAAATTAACAACTTGCATTTGTTAAACAGAACACCCTGTATAATCCTACTTAAGATGAAAGTCCTTTTCAACCCGATTTCAAAAATACATCGTTTGTCGGTATTTGGTATAGCCGTTTTTTCTTCTATTCCTTCATAATATGGAATAAAAGATAAATCAGAATAAAAATATGCATATAAAATACATTGAAAATTGCAGTGTTTTAAAACAAAACCTAAAATATATTAAGCTTTTTTATGAGAAAAGTAACTATATATAAAATATATTTTTTTTATTACTTTTCCCATAACAGATTGACGACACTCCGTATCTATAATTAACAAGCACACAATGATAATTGATAGCACAGACCTCTAAAAATGGTGACAGAATTTTCAGATTTAGAAATGCCGTCTTTGAAGGGCATTTTTGGCTTGCATATTTTATGCGTTACTTCAAAATTAAATATAAATGTATATATTTTTATTTTCATTTCTTACGAGAATTGTTTGACTGACTTTTCAAGTCTTTGTAGACTGATTCGAGTAAAAACAAATAAAATATTCATTCAGAATGGTTTCACACTAGTGTCTAATATTTATATTATTTTATTGTTTATAAAATTTTATAAAATATGTATCTGTTAATTTTGAAAAATATGAATACGCATTTAGAGGGTAATTCAGGGAGAGATGTTCCGGCGGTTTGATATATATATATATATATATATATATATATATATATATATATATATATATATATATATATATATATATATATATATATATATATATATGTTCGAAGTGTTTTCGGAGCGCGAGCATTGAAGATGCCCAGTGAGATTTTGGCGAAACGTCTGCAGGATTCCAGTCGGAATTCAACAAGCGAACGGATGATATCCCGGAATATAGTGTCATCACACATACATACATATATATATATATATATATATATATATATATATATATATATATATATATATATATATATATATATATATATATATATATATATATATATATATATATATATATATATATATATATATATATATATATATATATATATATATAATATTCCCAAAATTTCACCGGTGTTGAAAATCTGAACTTTTAGTTCTTATTTATTTTGATTTGATTTTCATCAAGTAAAAGCCACCTCAGTTCAAGGCCAGAGAAATCGTGGCACGCCGCTGGTAACGAAAACGGCACACACGTTTACCGCGCCGCCATTTTAACCGACATTATTATCCGTTTCCGTTGATTTTCCCCGAAACCGAGCCCGCTTTTTTTTTTTCGTACATTTTTAGAGGTCCGTAGCAAAATAAGGAAAAAGAACTGACAGCATAGGCGCCCGTTTCAGGATCCCGCGAGCACTGTTACGTCACGGCGTTCACGATGCGACGACCGGAATTAACGATACTAATACGCGGCGACTATCTGTGCAAAAACATGGTCGTCCGGAGTGCTAAATTTATATCTAGGTGCTTCGTGATCGATAAAAAGTGGAACAGAAAGAGGGTTGAGGCCCGTGGATCGCCGTATATATATAACTCGGTCGGTTAAGTATATTTACGTGCGACACAGCCGAGTCGTGGTCACAGAGTACCTCTACGGGCAGACGCGACGGTGACGGTGTCCTTGGAACAACGTAACGGCCGAATAAGCGGAAAAAATTGACATATCAAATGTTTATTAATTTTTTCTATTAATCGTCACTTTAATAGTGAATAGTCGTAACCCACAAAAAAAAATTGGCAATGGGCGTAACCCACATTTTATTGCAGTAAATAGGCATCAGTTTAACTTAAACCCTTTAGCAACTAAGACAACGGAAACGGGAATGGTCGAAATGGAAGCGAAATATGCAATGAACTTTAAAGAAGCGTATAAGAGACGGAAAGCAAAACAAAAAGAAGCCAAAACAGTAAAACGTATGTGTAATTGCAAGTGTAATGACTTTTTTTCTAAAGAAACGGGACGCCATATTTTATTAAAACGGAAGATGGCAAACTTTCGTATGCACAAAAAGAAGGTAATAGAAGACAATTTACTTTGGTTCGTAAAGTAACTGTAGGGCAACCAGTGTATCAAGTATGCGAGACGTTTTTCCTTAAAACCTCAAGGAAAAAGTCCTGATAGACCTTGAAAAAAGCACGGAAACGGAGTCGTTAAACCAGACCAAATAGAAAGAAAAATGCCAGTGCAAAAAAGGATTAAAGCAACAAAAAATATGATAAGAGATCACATTAAATCGCTACCTTTAATTAATTACACCAAGAAAAAACAATGACACAAGAAGTAACATTTTCTGCTCTGACTTTTGATTTTACTTGGTTCTGCTCTATGGGGTTAAACATGCCATGACGAAGAGAAAGACGTAAAACACTATTTAAAATAAATAACGGTTTCTAACAAATATTGCTTTGCGTGGAATTACGACTGTGGTAGCTTGCGTTATCCACGGACAATATCACGGTTACTGGGAATATTTTCGAAAAGATCGTTTTCAAACTAATTTTCAAAAAGTTCAGCCAGTTCATGATAACCCAAGCTGGAATCTTCAATATTCTGTGCAGACAACGGCAAGCAGTTTGGGACAACAGAAAGAACCAAATATACCTGGCCCACCCCTGCCTCGTGACTCAAGTAAATATAAATTGTTTACTAATGGTTTTACCCAATAACAATAGGTAATAACAATGATACAAGACATTTTTTCTCAATTCCTCGTAACTCCTTACAGTTGTTGCCTCCTCATTTGACGAAAACCTTTGCCCTTCGAGCGCAGTTTTCAGATGAAGGAAGAAAAAGAAGTCGCTTAGAGGTAGATCTGGTGAGTAAGGCGCCCTTCGAGCGCAGTTTTCAGATGAGGGAAGAAAAAGAAGTCGCTTAGAGGTAGATCTGGTGAGTAAGGCGCCCTTCGAGCGCAGTTTTCAGATGAGGGAAGAAAAAGAAGTCGCTTAGAGGTAGATCTGGTGAGTAAGGCGGATGGTTCAAAGCATAATTCGTGGGTTTTCACCATGACAACCACCGAGGTATGAGACGGCGCGTTGTTGGAATAAAAATATGAACAAATGTAACAGAACCTTCGACTTTAAGCGTTTTTCCTACTCAAACCGTCTCTTAAAATAGAGAAAAACATTGTTTTCCTATTAGTTTAGTCCCTGTAACTATGAAAATTTAAAAAATACAATTCAGAAAGACTAAAGAAAAATCAAACGTCTAGTTTGCACGAACGTAATCTGAGGTCCCCTTATCTTTCCCCTCGGCGCAGCTAATTTATTTCGTTGCCCGCCCCGAAACGTCACTTACTTGCTTTTATGGTCGAACGACGTCCCGTGGGAATCTTCGACGCCCCGTTCGTCGACGGGGACGGCGTCGAGACGCCCGGGCGACGAGGAATCCTCTTCGGAATGCGGCGCGTCGGACATGTTGTCTTCGGACGCGCAGCTGTCTTTACTCGATTTCCGTTGGAAACGTAACGAAAACGTTTTCCTAAACTTTTGCAGGACGCTTTCGGCAGTTTGACCTGGAACACAAGTCGACGCAACCGTCAAATTTATTACTTCACGGCTATGACGTATCCAAAGGGGCGGGGCGGGCAGAAAGACGAGCCCAAAACTGTCAAGGGATGTGTGGGATTTATCGTTTTATCATAATCATTCCTTTATTGAACCTTACAGTCAGGATAAACAATTTTTTTTGAATATCTCGCATAGAATGTTATAAGGTTGTTCGGAAAGTCATTTCGTTTTTTCCCGTCAGAGGACTTAATTACGTTTTTTCGAAACCAACTTCACACTTAAGCCGCATAACCATTATAATGTCTTGAGAGCTGATATTGCAAGGCTTGTGTGTGAAAAAGTTCTATTAATTTTACGCAGTAGTTTTTGGTTGGTGCCCTTTTAAATATGGAGAGCAATAAGCAGCATTTTCGTCATATTTTACTTTTTTACTTCAGAAAAGGTAAAAATGCTGTCCAAGCGAGAAAAAATTTGACCGATGTGTATGGAGAAGGCGTGTTAATAGTACGCCAGTGCCAGAACTGGTTTGCAAAATTTCGATCCGGCAATTTTGATGTCGAAGATGCACCACGGTCTGGAAGGCGGGTCGAAGCTGACAAAGATGCGATAAAGGCATTAGTTGATGCAAATCGGCGAATAACTACACGAGAGATCAGTGAGAGATTAATTTTGTCGAATTCGACTGTTTATGGCCATTTGAAAGGCATGGGCTTAACCTCGAAGCTCGATGTGTGGGTGCCCCATGTCCTTACGGAGCGAAATTTGTGTCGTCGCGTTGACGTGTGTGATTCGCTCCTCAAACGTCAAGAAAATGATCCATTTTTGAAGCGGATTATTACTGGGGATGAAAAATGGGTTGTATACAACAATGTTACGCAAGAGGTCATGGAGCAGAAAAGATGAACCGGCTCAAAGCGTGTCAAAAGCCAACATTCACCAAAAAAAGGTGATGCTCTCCGTTTGGTGGGATGTCAAAGGAATCGTTTTTTTGAGCTTTTGCCGGACAATACAACGATTAATTCAGAAGTCTATTGTCATCAACTGGACAAATTGAATGATTCACTTAAAGAGAAGAGGCCCGAATTAATCAATAGGAAGGGTGTAGTGTTCCACCAGGATAATGCGAGACCTCACACAAGTTTGGTCACTCGCCAAAAACTTTTACAGCTTGAATGGGACGTACTGCAACATCCACCATATTCTCCAGATCTGGCGCCTTCCGACTACTATTTGTTCCGGTCCCTGCAAAATTTTTTGGATGGCAAAACCTTTACCTCAAATGAAGATGTCAAAAACCACCTGAACCAGTTTTTTGCCAGCAAGGACCAAAACTTTTATGAGAGGGGAATTATGTTACTGCCAGAAAGATGGCAAAAGGTGTTGAACTAGAATGGCCATTATATAATTTAATAAAATATTAATTCATTATACGAAAACTGTCTTTCATGTTCCCCAAAAAAAAAAAACGAAATGACTTTCCGAACAACCCAATAAAAAAGTTCAACTAACCAAAACTGTTAAGAGACTCGTCTGTGAGATTCATTATTTTATGATAATCATGTTGATAATGGGCTAATGGTTAACAAAACACTTAAGCCCTCGTTTTGTATAAACGGATCATGAATGAATTTTATATGGAAACAGTAGCCAAGCAAAGTCTAAGCACAGGAACGACTTATTCGGAAATGCTGATAATAAATAAAATAAATAATAATTTATTCACGTATTAATATAAAATGAAAAGGACACGGTTCAGATGAACAAAATAAGATATTTTGAGCATCCGTTTTTAAACCTAACCTAAGAAAAAGGCAGGAAAAGTACACATAAAAAAAATTAATAAATACCCAGTACGATCTGTGCGAATGGAGGGACTTACACTTTGGAAATAGTTTACAGTAGACATTACTTAAATATTTAATGATAATAATACCTCACGCAGGTGTGTGGAAAACGTATTGTTTAGCAATTTAAGAGACTGATCCAATGCATTATAACGGGTGGTTAAATTGTAAGGGCCGATGTTGAATGTGAACCACACCTAAATGCCAAGTTTTTTTCCGAATTTTATTTGACATTTCTCTATTTCAGACTTACTCAATTTGAACCATGGAGAGATACACAATCCAACAACGTGTTAAAGTTATCCAGACTTATTATGAAAATGGGCGTTCAAATCAAAATGCATATCGTGCACTTCGTGATTTTTTTGGTCAATTTGATCGTCCAAATGTGCGTACAATCGCAAAAATCGTGAAAAAATTCGAGCAAACCGGGTCTGTAGAAGATATGAGAACACCAGTGCATGCTCGTACAGCTCGTACTGCAGAAAATATTGCTGCTGTTCGCGATAGTGTGGCTGAAGAGCCGTCCACCTCAACTCGTCGTCGTGCCCAACAATTGCACCTCTCACGCTCGTCGTTGATAAACATTATGCATACAGATGTGCATTTACACGCTTACAAGGTGCAATTGGCTCAAGAACTAAAGCCTCTCGACCATTCCAAACGTCGTGAATGGGCAGAATGGTGGCAAGAAATGGCAACAGTGGATGATCAATTTTCGAAGAAAATCATCTTCAGTGATGAGGCACATTTTCACCTCAGTGGATTCGTCAATAAACAGAATTGCCGCATTTGGGCGAATGAGAATCCAAGAGTGATTGTCGAAAAACCGATGCACCCCCAAAGAGTGACTGTTTGGTGCGGTTTATGGGCTGGCGGCATCATCGGGCCGTATTTTTTCCAAAATGAGGCCGGTCAGGCAGTTACCGTGAATGGTGTTCGCTATCGTGAGATGATAACGAACTTTTTATGGCCCGAATTGGAAGATATGGATGTGGACGATATGTGGTTTCAGCAGGACGGTGCCACTTGCCACACTGCTAACGAAACAATCGCTCTTTTGCGCAACAAATTCGATGGTCGTGTTATCTCACATAATGGCGATGTCAATTGGCCGCCAAGATCATGTGATTTGACACCGTTGGACTTTTTTCTTTGGGGTTATTTGAAAGAAAAGGTGTACGTCTATAAGCCAGCAACAATTCAAGAGCTAAAGGATGAGATAATTCGGCAGATTAACCGCATAGAACCTCCATTATGCCTCAGGGTCATCGAAAATTTGGACCATCGGATGGAGGTGTGCCGCCATGGTCGCGGCGCCCATTTGGCCGATATTTTATTCCATACATAATTGAGTAATACCAATATATCATAATAAAATAAAATTACAATAATTTCCTAAATAGTTTGTGTTTTATTCAAAATCAACATCGGCCCTTGAAATTTAACCACGTCATATGTAAAGGACCTTTCAAAAATTCCAGAGGTGTGACGTGGAGGGGTGAGCAGGCCTTTAAATCTTAAATTTAAATTGATAAACGTCCGTGCGAAAGCTGATTTTTTTGAAAAGACAGCGTGGAGACTTCAATCTTATAATTTTGCAATGAACATTACATTTATCGAGATATGTCGATGTTTCATATTAAGCCATCGAAATTCCTTCGAATCTTAGACAGTATTTCTGGATTTTTTGAATCCGTTCTGAGACAGCCGCCTCAGACATGGGTCATAGACGACATCGCAGTGGTTAAAAGAAGATAAAACTATCGAATCACACAGGACAGAATCTTTTTTAATGATGTAGGACTATATAAGCAATAGATTTTTTAATACATTGTGTAACGTGACCATTAAATCTTAGCTCACTGTCGAGCATGAGCCCAAGGTTTTTTGCCTCCGTTTTCCGAGGAATGCACACATTAAATAGTTGAGATAATCGATCAACATCCACGGGCCTACCAAAGAACATTACTATAGATTTTTTTGGATTTAGATGGAGTAAATGTTCTAGGGACACCCTGTTAACGATTTCTAGATCATTATTTATGATTTGACAGCTTTCCAGAATGTTATCTGCCGAAAATGAGTAATTAACTTGCGTATCATCTGTATAAATTTGGGTTTTGCAATGCTGTATAAAACTAGGAAACGCGGACGTATATATACAGTATTAAGATTGGCCCCGGAATGGAGCCTTCAGCCCTTAGAACCACTTTTTGTGTACGACCTTGTACGAAGTACTTATTGATTTCATTAATGTTACGGAGCTGAGGTGGAATATTTGATTTTTCCTTTGTCCACACTTCTTTCGAGCTACGATTTAACGCATGTTGCACATAGGCCATTTTTTCCTTCTTAATTGTCATACTTGTAAAATTTCTGAGACCATTGTTCAAAATCAACGACATTTTTAGTTTTTTTATATTTGGTTGTAGCTTTGTTTCGGGTTTTTAAAGGTAGCTTAATGTTAAAAAAACAAACACTTCAGCACCGGTTTTGTATAAATGAATCGTGAACGAATCTTAGAATCAGGATAAACAGTAGCCCAAGCATAGTCTAAGCACAGTGAAGATTTCACCAAAAAATTTCACCGACTTTCAAGAATTCAACAAAGATTTCAGCGATTTGTAAATGATTTTCAAAATTTCGCCGATTTTAAGAAAATATTTTTAGGTTATGAGGGAAATTTTTGTATTCCGTCATAATTAAAGGATAATATAGATGATATATAATCTTAGAATCAGGAGACGTAAAATCATATAAGATGTGCTTTGGTTTAAAGGCGTTTTACTTTTTAAAAAACTTCCACCGACTACTAGATTCTTACTGCATCAGTTGTTCACAAATCAAAATTGCTGACGTCTCGCCAATCATCCTTATATATTGTATGTTTGTTTTTTCTGGTAAAAATGACATAGAACCAAATCAAAATGACATCAATTTTTTCATGCGCAATGGTTTTGGGACGTGAGCTGTGTATACCGATACTCTGCTCCAGCTATCGCAAAGCTATGTTACAGAAAGGAGTCTGTTGGATCTCAGGGATCTCATTTTTTTTTCGATGTTGACCTTTGTTTCGCATTTCTATTCGTGCTTCTTTTGCCGGCGGTTTAAAAGTAAAAAAAGAGATTGGTTCGTATTTAGACGCATTTGAGCGTCAGAGCGATCTTGACGGATTTACCTATTATTGAACAAACCGCAGATTGTTCTTAAATCTTGATGAATGTCGATATTACAAGGATATAGATATTAACTTAATGCTTGACAATAAAAGGTTTTAGAGAGTTAAGCAAATAAAAGACTTGGGACGTGTTTTTCAATGATAAGGTCTGTAGTAGAGTACTCATAGACAGTTTGGAATCCTATTTACAGTAAATATATCATCATGATACGAAGCATACAAAAAACTTTTTAAAAACCTGAACTTTAGATACAACAGAGATCGGAGAAAAGTTAAAATTTTCCAATTTGAAGTAGCTTGAAACTCAAAGAAACTGCTCCGAACTGCTCAAACTTATAATAATTGTTTTTTACAAAACGGCATAGATATAGATATGTTTAATTTAATCCTTGGTTTTTTTAAAAAAAAAAAACGTATATTACTTCCTAGTTATCATTTATTTTAATCTAACCTTTATAAGAAATTTATTGCTCATTTTGCCCGATTTATTATTATCTTTATGTAAAGAACTCGAGCATTTGGCGACCAGTTCATTGCCGGGTGACTCTCTTCGAGGTCTACGAGGGAAAGTTTTCCCCTAAATTTGCGAATGCAGCGATAAACAAGCGCATCGCCTTTGTTTACGCGTTCCAGCCAGTCAGCATTCCGACTATAAACCCGCTGGTCGGCCAATTTGCGAATAACAACGGCATATATCGAACTAATTAATACGGGTGGCGAATTCGATTTCGGCTCCGGGTACGCGAAATTGGGACAAAAAGGCTTGTTATGCAGAAAATGTTACGGAACACACGATATTTTTGAAATTTTCACTGAGCGGAACGTAAAGAAAAACCCAAAAAAGTCTCCCCCATAGAGAAAAAAAAAACAAATTCTCAATTGAAGATTATATTATTATTATTATTATTATTATTATTCTATGCTTGAAAAATAAATAGATTTTTTTTTCATTGTAGTAAATAGCCTTGTTTTAAAATATGGAGTGGATCGTATAAAAAAAAACCTAAAAAATCTCCTCTATACAGAAAAAAAAAACTCTCAATTTTAGATTATTATTATAGTATGCTTGAAAAATAAATATAAAGTATTTTAAAGATATGTTCTTTATTGTAGTAAATGCCCTTGTCTTAAAATATGGAGCGTAGCGTCAGGAAGAACCTAAAAGAGTCTCCCCTATGCAATAAAAAAATTAATTGTAGGTTGTAGATGCGTGGAAAAAAATTTAAGATATTTTAAAGATATATTTTTCATTGTAGTAAATAGCCTTATTTTAAAATGTGGTTATTAGTTTCATCTTTCTCTGGCTTCTTATTCGGTTCATTCAACAACTTCGCTTTGATAAAGGCAAGATAGGTTTCTTTTCAAGCTTATTGTTTGATAAGTCCTCTACTGATTAAAGTTTCACCAGAAAGAAAGAAATATACCTGGCCCACCCCTGCCTGCTCACTCAGTTAGGAATAAATTTTTTTGTTAATAGCCTTCCCGATAACAATAGGTAATAACATAACATCGTTCAAGTTATATTGGAGAGGATCAGTCGAAAGCCTACACGATGAAGACTGTGACAGTCTATACTAAGTCTAGGATGATATCGTGCATTATCCATAATAATTAAAGACGGCACTAAAAAAAAATATAAGAAATACAAGTTGAGGCTATATCTTATATACCTTACTCTTTGCGGATATAAACAGATTCATTTCAAACTTTTCAATTCTACCGGTAACTAATTCTGAATGAATGACGTAAGAAGCTCCGACGCAATCCGGATAATTCGAGGAGTGGGGGAACGAAATTTATCGAGCAGATTACCTTTCCGTCGTTTGAAGGGGGAGATTTGTGTCCGCCTAACAAAATAAGCCTCTTACGAAAAATATTATTTATAATTCAACAAAAGACGGAACTCGATGTCTTAATTAATTAAAACGCGGAAAATTAATCGGCCAATTCGCGATTAAAATTTAAAAATTCCAAGGAAAATTGTCACTTTGTACCGCATTTCGCCGCATTTCCTATAGCAAAATTTCCGAATAATATTTGCTTTTAGAAGATAACTTCGAAACTCCGCCCCTCGGGGCGTGGCCTACCATTCAACTCCGCCCCTTGGGGCGTGACTTTAGATTTGACTCCACCTGCTGTCCTAACAAGCCACGCGCCAAAGGCCAGTTTTGAACTTCGCCATACTGCTGAGTAGATATAACCTATAAATTTCAGTCAGTGAGTGACTGACAATATGGAGCAGGGGTACCTGAAGGGTCACATTTCGGTCCCTTATTGTTTGCTATTTTCCTGTATGATATTGGCCAGTGCTTTTCAAACTCGTATTGTATTGTTGCAGAGAGATTAGTCAAATTTTGAAGAATAGTGTTGTCACTGTGTTTGTTTACAAAAAAAATACCACCTGAACTTTTAGGACTCTTTAAAAGACCTGGATGTAAATTGGATTCGAGGCTTCTTTTTGAGATGCACGTAGAACGGCCGGAGAGTGTACAACAAAAATTTGTAAATGCTCTAAATTATAGATTTAATAGGCAGAGACATTTTTTTAGTTATAGTGAACACCTTCGTTTCTATTGCATGCAGTCTTTGGAAAATCGTAGAACAAATTTTCCTATCGCTTTAGAAAAAAACTTATAACAGGGTAGAGAACGCGTTTCCGGATCTTGATCTATTTGCACTGAGCTTTGTAATTAGTTCTTAAACTAGTCCACTGGCAAAGTATTTCTTTTTTGTGATATTTTGTGCTTTCCTTGCGCGGCTACGTCTGTCTGAAGGAAAAACTTGTTAATAAATAAATGAAGCAACGAGATCGATAACATAGCAGCACAGTTTTTGCTATTGCATTCCAAGCGTTTAAGTGATTTTAAGATGTAAGAAAGTAGACTGAGGAGGAACCACGAAAGCGAGGGCTTTCATCTCCAAGAACCGATGAAATTGTGGACAGAATTCTGGATCTGGAACAGTTTAATTTGAACCGCACCACCACACCAATTGGGGAACAGAAAGAAAACTTTCGCGAAGCCAACAGGACTTTTTTTTAAAAACTTTTGAAATGTGGTCAGTGATGATTTGAATGTAAGGAAAGACAACAGTGTCGGGTGTAGGATTGCTCTGGGCCTCATTGCTATTGGAAGGTTGTGATGAAGTGTACTTTCTGATGGAACGCTTAATATCTTCAATGTGGAAATTAATAGATAGAAGAGCAGCGGTAAAATGTTTTATTTCTGGGTTCAGTGACTCGGGCTGAGTTACGAGAGAGCTGATAACCGATGATTTTTGGACCGGATGGTGATGTGACCATGCATTATAATATCGGTCTGTGTGCGTAGGGTTTGTGTAAACATAATGAACCAAGGTGTAGAGAACTTTCTTCTCAAAGGCTTCCATAAATTCATTCGCGGTGACTGGTGATAATGGAGAAAACACAGCTGTTCCTTATTAATTGTTCAGTGAAATAAACGGAATTAAGTACGAAACCATCAGTTTTCCATGGAAAAAATTTTAATATAGAATTGCCACAGAAGATGTTGGAGAACCAATGGACAATAGTTCGAAGGGATAATCCTGGTTTGTGAATCTTTGAGAGTCCGTAGAGAAGAGGAATTTGAAAGTCATGAGGTGAAAGACTTTTTCAAAGAGTCTGATACAGAAGAAGCCTTAATAACCGATTTAAGGTTGCCCTCCATAGATGACGTAGGATCTTTTTTAGATTCACCACCTTGCTAAGGGTAGCCATTTTTCCTGTTTCAATAAATTTTCTCACAACTTGAGTAGCTGTGGATCTTGTAATGGGCCATTCTCGATATTATAAGTTAAAAAATTCTAAGCTTCTTGAATCTATATCGAATAAAAATTAAAATTTCAAAGCTCAGAGTTTCATTTAGATGCGCCATATTCATTTTTTTTACGTCATTATGAGAATTTAAGAACCTTTCGCGTAATAGTTGCATACCCGCTCATTTCGAAATTAAATTTCTTGGTATATACATTTACATTTTGACCCACCAATTTTTTAAATTTATTCCAATTCAAATTGGCGTTTTCTATCACGCGCTGTTGACTGTCCTCTAAAATTCGGTTTCTAATTCCCGGCGTATTACGTCACGGGAAGATGCTTATCTCAAACAGGGGCGAGCACTATGCGCGAAATCCATTAACGTCGTCGTGTTTATCGAAGGAAATTAATATGACGTTGCAAGGCACCGCACAGTCGACCTTGTTTGGATAACCATTCCAAAAAACTTCCACTTACCTCGTTGGTGGTGGGCGTGGTGGTGTTGGGGGTGGTTCGTCGCTTCCCTCAGCGGTTCAGGGTTCAGCGAAAAACCGCCGCCATCTTCGACGGCGTCGCTCCACTTCCTGGGGAACACCAAACGGGGGCAAAGTTAATACGGACGCGGCGACGAGGTTAAACGAAATGTCAAATTTGACGGGTTAGATATCAAATACGCCAAAAAGTTTGGTAATTGACAAAAATGACGTGCTGGCGACAAAAGAAATATTAAAGTTTGTCAAAAATGGAACCTTCTGGCTTCTAGCGATTCTACTGGTATTCTCTTCATGAGCACAATTGAGCAAAAAGTTTGGAATGTGATAGAAGAGCGGAGAGGGAGAGAGTGAGGGGGGGAGGGAGGAGGGAGTGAGAAAAGAAGGGGGGGGGAGAGAGGGAGGGTTTTACAGGGATATGAAGGTAAAATTCGAAAGCGTCAGAGGACAGTTAACTGGTGTTCCAACCTTGGGTCATTTTGTTAATAATAATTTACTAGACAGGAGGGAAAAATGCGACAAAGAAATAATGAAAGTGTTTAGGAGTGGATTTGCAGGGAGGTGAATGCGATGTATGGGAGTTATCAGATTATGGCATCATTGCGACAGAAATTAAAAGACGAATATTGACAAGCGCATTTGTATTAAACATCTGTTCAAAATTCATTAAATTCGTCTAAAAAAAACAAAATAAACATTATTTTGACGGAACTTGACACCCAGTCAGGTTTAAAAAGAAAGCTTCATATGGACATGTCCCAATCGTCTTCACTTTCGAGATACAGGGTGGTAAAATATATATTTTTTAATAATGTATTATAATATTTTCTTCAAGTTAGGAAACAACTCTGTGAGTCGTTTATTATGTCTGCATTGTTATATTGTTGTATTGTTTTACCCCTGTTTAACCCTACTTCATCGTCAACGCCTTCAAAAAATACAAAATATGCAAAATATGACCACCTGTCCCACCCTAAAATAAAATTGTTGCAGTGGTTGAAAACTATATTAAAAATTATTATTAAAAATTATTCTTAGTCAGCATGACGCAGGAGGAGAGAGCAAGAGTTGTTTGATAAATATAACCCAACTAATCGATTTATTAGTCGCTAGCGATATTGATTTCGCATGCAATCCTCTAGTTAATACTATGCAAGACATATCCCATCACGATATCATGGATATCTTGTGATATTAAAATACAAAAGATCCGATTTTAAGTGACTTTAAGACAGTTTTCTGCATAGCATTTTCCCAAAACAACTTTTACTCCATGGACATTTTGATATGACTTGAGGTGTATTTTTTATGTCGCCACTCTTGTGTTTAATTTTCCTTCAAAGACGGTAATTAATATATCTAATTATACCTAGTAAGTTTTTAAGAAATAGCCTGTACCTACTTTAAAAGGTACTAATCATAACGCTTTATAGGTTAAAGAAATGCGAACAATTATACTATTTATTTGTTGATAAATCGAACTCGCTGAAGTTCAATTCAGTTTCAATTAACCTCTGAACAACCCAAACAAGACGATTCAACAACAACCAAAGAAGGAGGATTCCAGAATATTTGTAAATAGTATTACTGTAGCTTGTGCAAGTTTCTTTGAATAAATAAATAAATAAAACTAACATAAAAAAATAAATAAACACCGTCTCGGAAGTTTTATAAAAAGTATTACAGTGGCCCGTGGGAGTTTCTTTGACAAATTGAGTTCTTTGTTAGTTGCAAAACTTTAAAGCCAAAGAGTTAAATTAAAAAAAAAACTTATGAATGTTGAAGGCTTTATTACATGAAACGCCCAACAGCTTGACGGTATATTTTTTGATCACTTTGAATGATTTTGTCGATAGGTTTTTATTTAAAAAAAAAATCAATTTTTTTGGCTCGGTCCGGTTTATTGCCAAGCTCTTGTATATACAATGGCCATAAGCCATAATTTGCATGCGAAAGCACTATACAGTAGCGTGCGGCCGTTTTATGTTACGATCCACCCGACTGCGCCACTATGCGATAACGGATTATTACAACATTTTCTTTTCCGACGTCGCGTTCTTCACAATTTCGTGTGTATAAACCACGAAACTTTCGCAATCCTTAATAGGGAAGTAAACCCTTTTAATATTCCCCCGGAAAACGTATCGCGGTGTGTTCCGGGTTGGGGCGTAATTAAAACGCCCTTAATGGACGAAAAAATGGCTAATTAAACGGAATCGTGATTTTGCACCGCCAAGCGGCACTAAAGGTTCGATTCGTTAAAAATATATAACGGGATAATCATCAAACGGTTTAAATATTTGAAAAAAAAAAACTAGAAAACGGACAGCTGTAGGAAATCGCCTTAATGTTTCGTCTTAATTATTATCATTAATTCATAATTCAGTAAGAATACCATAGGAAAATTTCTAAAAAACAATTAAACTAAATCACGGAAAACTCAAAAATCCGGAGTCTACAAGTTGAAATGTCGATCCTATCTCAAAATTTATATCGAACAAACATGTAGAACATTTAAGAAATAGATTAACGAACGTAAAAATCGAATTTCGAATTCTAACTACGCCATTCAATTGAATTCAAATTTACATTTTCGGTTCTAACTTAATTGTGCCATAAAAAATATTTACTTACACAGCACATTGCTAAGAGTATAATTGTATTCTTAATTTTGCAAATAAACGACCACAGGCTACTGTAATACTTTTTATAAAACTTCTGGCTTCCTCCTGCGTCGGTTTTTCTTGACATCTTCGATCCGTCAAAGACAAAACTCCACTTGAGACGCCAGGAGTTTACAGCATTCCACGCATATGCGGCAAAGAATACGTCGGACAGACCGGACGAACACAATCACGAAACCGATCATAAAACTAAAATTCTTGCATCGGAGTTCGAATTGGTAACGCTTTGTCACTGCCACAAAACGTGCCTAGTGGTGTTCCCCAGGGATCGGTGCTAGGACCAGTGCTATTCTCAGTGTACACTGTGGATTTGCTCTCCAGCATTGATTCTCTGATTGAAAATCACATGCGGAGAGACTTGAATAATATTTCCAAGTGGTATTCGATTTGGCTATTGCCGCTGAATGCTCAAAAGTGCTCTGCGCTGCATGTTGGCAAGAACAATGCCGGTGGAAACTATGTGTCAAGTGTCGATATAAATTTATTTTTTATTTGTTGTCCAGTTATTGTGAATTTATACACATTGTATATCTAGATTTAGTATATTATGACGTTATATACAATTTTATGTTAGCGTATACTCAATTTAATTTTTTTTCCTTTGTATGACTTGCTACAAACAATGACCTTGTAAAGTAGTCAATAAACCATCTATCTATCTGTCACCAATATGGGAATCAGTCGTCCGAGACGGTGTTTATGTCCCTCATTTATCTACGCCCTCAAACAATATATACGTAGGTACAGTTTCAGTCAAGCTCTGATGAAGCCGACGTTAGCTGGATCGTCTCAACAAAAACCGACGCAGGAGTTTTATAAAAGTTTCATAAAAAGGGGTTTATATTTCCTAAAATTGCCATTGTCATTGTCATTCTTTGTTCCAAATTTACTTACTGGCACCGGTAGAGGAGTTCTAAACTATAAGGTTGTTCGGAAAGTCATTTCGTTTTTTCCCGTCAGAGGACTTAATTACGTTTTTTCGAAACCAACTTCACACTTAAGCCGCATAACCATTTGAGAGCTGATATTGCAAGGCTTGTGTGTGAAAAAGTTCTATTAATTCTACGCAGTAGTTTTTGGTTGGTGCCCTTTTAAATATGGAGAGCAATAAGCAGCATTTTCGTCATATTTTACTTTTTTACTTCAGAAAAGGTAAAAATGCTGTCCAAGCGAGAAAAAAATTGACGGATGTGTATGGAGAAGGCGTGTTAACAGTACGTCAGTGCCAGAACTGGTTTGCAAAATTTCGATCCGGCAATTTTGATGTCGAAGATGCACCACGGTCTGGAAGGCCGGTCGAAGCTGACAAAGATGCGATAAAGGCATCAGTTGATGCAAATCGGCGAATAACCACACGAGAGATCGGTGAGAGATTAAATTTGTCGAATTCGACTGTTTATGGCCATTTGAAAGGCATGGGCTTAACCTCGAAGCTCGATGTGTCGGTGCCCCGTGTCCTTACGGAGCGAAATTTGTGTCGTCGCGTTGACGTGTGTGATTCGCTCCTCAAACGTCAAGAAAATGATCCATTTTTGAAGCGGATTATTACTGGGGACGAAAAATGGGTTGTATACAACAATGTTAAACGCAAGAGGTCATGGAGCGGAAAAGATGAACCGGCTCAAAGCGTGTCAAAAGCCAACATTCACCAAAAAAAGGTGATGCTCTCCGTTTGGTGGGATGTCAAAGGAATCGTTTTTTTTGAGCTTTTGCCGGACAATACAACGATTAATTCAGAAGTCTATTGTCATCAACTGGACAAATTGAATGATTCACTTAAAGAGAAGAGGCCCGAATTAATCAACAGGAAGGGTGTAGTGTTCCACCAGGATAATGCGAGACCTCACACAAGTTTGGTCACTCGCCAAAAACTTTTACAGCTTGAATGGGACGTACTGCAACATCAACCATATTCTCCAGATCTGGCGCCTTCCGACTACTATTTGTTCCGGTCCCTGCAAAATTTTTTGGATGGCAAAACCTTTACCTCAAATGAAGATGTCAAAAACCACCTGAACCAGTTTTTTGCCAGCAAGGACCAAAACTTTTATGATGCTGCCAGAAAGATGGCAAAAGGTGTTGGACCAGAATGGCCAATATATAATTTAATAAAATATTTATTCATTATACGAAAACTGTCTTTCATGTTCCCCAAAAAAAACGAAATGACTTTCCGAACAACCCAATAGATTGCTCCGCAGAGTGGATGTTCTCTTCATTTCATTTATTTGTAAATTATTTTTACTTTTGATTAATAACGTCATATTATTAATATTTTGATGGCACCCGTGAACCTTGTTAATTTGATAAAGACGCGGTGTTGTCGAAACAATTGTCATGTAAAAATATATAATTTCGTGAAAATCTGAACTTTAGTAAAAGCCACCACCGAATTAAATCTTGGCAGCAAAGGGCAAAATGGACAATTCAGCCAGTTCAATTTTTTGAACACTCTCATAACTATATTTTGCAACTTTTGTCGGGCCTCTATAGAAGAAGAAGAAGAAGACATAATTAAGTAATTCAGTCCGATCAACGAGCAGACAATTATTCTAGGAGCAACAGCGGGTAGAGTGAAAAAGGGGGAGGGATTCTATGCTAATTTAATGGCGTGCTCACCTGACCAAATCTTCTTGGCACTCCGACAGGTGGGGCGTCGAAGTAGCCTTGACCCTTCGGTCGACCTCCAAAGGCGACCTGTTCCGGCGACCCTCGTGCAAGGGCTGAAACAACATTAAAACATCGACCATGAAGACCATGAAATATATCAGCATCCAATACAATTATCATCTCGATATAAAACTTTCACAAATTGCTTCATCAGCCTCAATTTGATAGGCAAGATTTTTTCACTGAAAACCAAAAGGGGGATAATTAAAAGTATATTCCAAGTGTTACAAAGTTTGATTCAGTTATTTCTGAATGTACCGAAAACACACCTTTTAAATGTTTTTTTTTCGTTTTAGTATTAAGAATATTTTTTCTCAATTTCCAAAAAATTCAAAATTCACTTCAATTTTTTATCCTCCCCTTTCCATATTAATTTTTGGCTGAAATTTAAACCGTTAGGGATGTATATTTATTCCTTTTTTTTGGCTTTTATCAAAAACAATTAACCTGTATATCAAAAATTGGAGTTTGGGAGGAATGAAATTCAAAATTAAATCAAAGGCAACTATTCCGGACGTTTTCTTTTGAAAAATGTTTAAACTAAATATCTGGGTTATTTAGTTAAAAAGTATGTTTTTGATACACTGAAAAAGAAATGAATCAAAATTTATGAGAATTTTCGTGAAAATGAGAAAAAAAAGCACGCACATTGAAAAAAAAAACTAAAAAGTGGATCTCGTATTTAGGAAAAAAAGTTCGAAAAGAAAAAAATTACAGGAGAATGACCACGAACAAACACAAAAAATTATACGTAATATAGTGTCATGTTTTATAGTCTAAAATTAATTTTAATTTTTCTGTTCACTTTCTCACGTTTCAAATAACGTTCTGGCGTAAATTGACAATGTAATTATTCGTATTTCGTATATTAATTAGGCAAGGAATGTAAAAATGTTAATATTGAAAATAAGAGAAAAAAATTTTTCGCGAACCTGAATTACATTTTTTGTTTATATAAGTTTTGAGAAATTGAGACAAAAACTGTTAAAACTGAAAAGAAAAGAAAAAAAATTTAAAAAGTATGTTTTTGATACACTGAAAAAGAAATGAATCAAAATTTATGATAATTTTCGTGAAAATGAGAAAAAAAAGCATTCACATTGAAAAAAAAAAAAGCTAAAAAGTGGATCTCGAATTTAGGAAAAAAAGTTCGAAAAGAAAAAATTACAGGAGAATGACCACGATCAAACACAAAAAATTATACGTAATATAGTGTCATGTTTTATACTCTAAAATTAATTTTAATTTTTCTGTTCGCTTTCTCACGTTTCAAATAACGTTCTGGCGTAAATTGACAATGTAATTATTCGTATTTCGTATATTAATTAGGCATGGAATGTAAAACAAAAAACAAACAGCTTGTGTAAGTAAAATTTCCGATAAACAACGAGATTGCGTAATAAACAAAGGAGACAGACGGACCTTTCCTTTCATCTGTTGAACAGGGCCATTTTTAAAATTCACTTAATACAGGCTACATTAAATGCTTTTTCCTGTCAACAGTGAAATAGTAAAAATAAATATTAAAACATGTTTTATAAAAAATATTTAAAAAATCGGTTGTTTTTGGAAATACCGAAAAATTTTATTGGCAAAACTTTTTTGTCCAATTTTCAAGAAAATCGGACTTTTTGTCAAGTTTCAAGTTGATGTTTGCTGACGACCTGCGATTGTGTATTATAGTATTTTATATACAGTGAACTCCGTTTATAACGTACATGGGACATAACGTACTTCCGGGTATTACGTGCATATTTTACTGGTCCGGAAAATACTGTTGATTTTTCATCGGATATTACGTACCATATATAACTTCTACTACGGTTATTAAGTAGAATATTTTCATTATTAATTCCATTCTATTGTGTTGGTACTTTTCTCTAAATTAGAATAAAATTAAATTATTCTTTATGTTTTTGATTGCTTTCTTCTTTCCCTCTGGGAAGATAAATCAGTCGTTACTTACAGATACTGATTTCGCTGGTGATTTTACCTTGCGAATTTTATCCTTTTCCTCTGTGTTCGGATGTATAAATATGTAATAGATATCGAAAAGACTCCTTTTGCTGTTCTTCGAGCTGTAGTGAAATACGGTAGAATCAGCAATTATTCTTGAAGCTTCGCTGGCAGTTAAAATCAAAATTGCTTACTTACATACGGCTGATTGCTTTAAAGTCAATTTCGTACCCCTGATATTATCAGGGGTATGACTTTTTTATTCTCATAGTTGGAAAAAAACCAAAACATTAATAATATTTCTAGGCACTATGACAAAACCAAACGCTTTTAAAGTATAGAACTTCCATATGATGCTACCTCTTCAATTTTAAGATTTGTGTTTGTCTCTTTTTGGTAAGGTTCTTTGTAATTCCGTTTATATAAATAAAAAAAAAGATGTGTACTATAACATAATTTTAGATTGTATCCCTTTCTGAAGAAGGTCATAGAAGACCGAAACGTCAATATATGGACAAAAAATTATATATATATATATATATATATATATATATATATATATATATATATATATATATATATATATATATATATATATATATATATATATATATATATATATATATATATATATATCTCCTGCAGACGTTTCGCCAAAATCTCACTTGGCATCTTCAATGCTCGCGCTCCGAAAACACTTCGAACACTGGCACTGACACTTCGCAGTGTTTTCGGAGCGCGAGCATTGAAGATGCCAAGTGAGATTTTGGCGAAACGTCTGCAGGATTCCAGTCGGATGCAGGATTCCAGCCGGAGTTCAACGAGCGAACGGATGATATCCCGGAATATAGTGTCATCACATTTTACCATCCGTGAATCAATACGTGAGAATATATATATATATATATATATATATATATATATATATATATATATATATATATATATATATATATATATATACAGGGTTTTTCACTTAAAACTCCGCACGCCAATAAGTCCAAAACGAAAAGAAATATTTAATTTATGTAAAAAGTAGTCAAAGTTTGGGGTCAAGTAGATATTTCCTAAAGTTTAAAAAATTCGACGCCTGCAAAGAGCTGGGCGTCGCGACGCGTCGAAAAATTATTCGATTACAGAGACTTTGGAAATACGCGCATACAAAAGTACATATTATTTAAAAACTTTTTTGTTATTTACTCAAACTTATTTACTTTACCCGTTTCTAAGTTATACCGATTTAAAGTAAACATTTCTTGATTAATAAAAAATGTGATTAACGCTTATTTTTACAAGTATGCCATGAATGTTAGTTACTATGGCAACCATTGTTATCGCAGTTGTCTTAAATGCAATTACAAACAATAGATTTCAACTATTTTAGTATGATTTTATTTATTATTTTTTATCGATTTAGTTCTGATAACATGATAAATAAATGAAAAAACAGTAAAATACCTACAAGTTAATAACCAAAATTATTATTGCAATTAACTAAATAATAAGACATTTCAAAAATTTTGTTCAAAATTATCTCCATCTGCTCGAACACAACTATCAAAAACTTTTAGCAGATGAGCTTGGGTCACTTGTAGGAGAGTCCTTCTTGTGATAGCGGCACACGCTGCACTAATTTTGTTAATGAGATCAGCCATATCTTCGATAGGTTCTTCATAGATAACGTTTTTTAGGTAGCCCCAAAGAAAATAATCTGGTGGTGTAATGTCCGGGGACCTCGCCGGCCACCTTACCGGTCCATTAGTACCAAACCATCTATTGAGATATTCTCGGTTCAAATACCTCGTTACTATTTGGGCATTATGTGCAGGCGCTCCATCCTGCTGTAGCCACATATTCATTCTAGTGTCAAGAGGCACTTCTTCTAATAGTTCCGGAAGTGTAGTTTGAAGAAATCTTAAATAGCGATCTGCATTTAAAGTTCCTTCGTAAAAGTAAGGTCCAAGAAGGAATCCATTTAATATGCCGCACCAAACATTGATACTAAAAATTCGTTGGTTACCTCTTTCTGTAATCCAACGAGGATGGTTTTCGGACCAAAAACGACAGTTGTGTCTATTAACGATTCCATTATTTTGAAATCGACTTTCGTCGCTCCATAAAATTTTCGAGAGAAAATTTGCATCTTGGCTATACAAATCGGACAATGTCGCTAAGAAATACATTCTTCCAGCATAATCGCCTAGTTCTAGTTTATGAACTAGTTTACTTTTGTACGGGTGAAAAGAGTTTCTATGTAGAATTCTCCACGAAGAACTTATGGTAACACCGGTATTTTCTTTTATCTATGATAGGGATATCTTGGGGTTATTATCAACCTGCTGAATTACAGCAGCAGTATTTTCCTCATTTGTAGCCGTCCTGTTCCTATCTCTTTTAGGTTTTATGAAGCTGCCATATTCTCTTAAGTTTTTACATAAACTTGAAAAGGTTTTTGCATCGGGGACTCTTCTATGCGGATAACGCCGTGCGTAAACTCTTTTTGCTTCTCTACAATTGCATCTGCATTCTCCAAACACCAGTAACATGTCTACTTTTTCCTTATTGCTAAATTGCACCATTTTCACATAATAATTCTTAGTTTTTTTTAAACCAAACAAATTTGGATATTTCTTGTGACAAAATGTGACAATTTTTTGATACAGCAATAACAACTTACGTTTGTAATTGCACTTAAAACAACTGCGATAACAATGGTTGCCATAGTAACTAACATTCATGGCATACTTGTAAAAATAAGCGTTAATCACATTTTTTATTAATCAAGAAATGTTTACTTTAAATCGGTATAACTTAGAAACGGGTAAAGTAAATAAGTTTGAGTAAATAACAAAAAAGTTTTTAAATAATATGTACTTTTGTATGCGCGTATTTCCAAAGTCTCTGCAATCGAATAATTTTTCGACGCGTCGCGACGCCCAGCTCTTTGCAGGCGTCGAATTTTTTAAACTTTAGGAAATATCTACTTGACCCCAAACTTTGGCTACTTTTTACATAAATTAAATATTTCTTTTCGTTTTGGACTTATTGGCGTGCGGAGTTTTAAGTGAAAAACCCTATATATATAAGCGTACTTCCA